TACGATTCCCCCCCCCAGACCCCCATCCCCCACCCCCTGTGGTGTACATTATGAACGCAGCCTTACTGAGCTATGACAAAAACCTACTGGATACTTACACAATTAGATTTGCAATTTTGGATGGTTGTGAAGGGGATCCTGCAAGGCTTGATACACTAGAAAAATGCACAAAAAAGGTTGGCCATATATTACGAGTAGCAAGGGGAATATATAGCTTTTTCAAAASAAGGTGGTTGGAGCGGAACGGAGATTGTGCGACCGGAGTTCTTTGCGGCTCCATATAAAATCTAGTGGATAATTTTAACTGGTGGAACCGACCCGAAATGGAAAATGTTCAATGCTGAAAGACAAGGACAAACGTGACGAGCCATCATAGTTGATTTTCATTCAATATATTGACAATATATTGACATAAATACCCATAGTAACTTTCGGGCGTGCATTCTCTAATCGGCCATCTTTTCTGAAAGACCTACAATAGCTCTATTTGATTAGAGATAAGATCCACAAAAAAGATTCCTTTTGTGATTATGGTCAAAAGTTGATCGCCCATGATATTTGCACTCCACGTTTCAAAATTTCACCCTCGCTCTTCTAAGTCCCTGAGAAGTTCGCGCGCTTTTTTCTTAAATCACGGTGTGTACACGAAAATTAGCAAATACAGACGTTTTCCTGTCCAATGGAAGATAATAGCAATATTGACTGATTACCTCTTCGCACAGGCTCCCACGCGGACAGCTTGGGTCAGGGATAGATGACTTTCTAACCTTAAAAACAAGAGGATGACTGACGTCAATAGTCTGCGATACGCTACTCAAGTGAATGGCTTTCAAGTCGATGCTTAAAATATAGGGTTCTCAGTTCAGAAGTATTCGATAGACAGCTATTTTTAAGAATGATAAACAAAATACACGAACATTTTTGATATTTGATTTTTTGTTCCAGACTTTTCGACTAATTTTTCTGTCACGAAGCACGTCACCTCTCGGCATGATTTGCAAGTTTACTTGGAGAATTAGTAAAATCCACAAATTATTTTGAAATTATTAGCCCTTTTTCTACAGGAAGGTACGATATTTGTGTATTGAATCAATCTAGTGAAGATCAGATACACCGACAAGTTTTTACGKGCCGCCCGGACATACCATATACACGTACCCCGAGGTCCATCCGAGTGTTTCATACACGATTCCGTTCTAAACTCGTGAGAGATTCAGCTTCAAAAACTCGAAGATCAAATCCGCATCTCCGTCCATGTATTATAACAGCCTCTATATCTTATGTCCTGTTAAATTTCATGCTGAAATATGCAGACCTTAAAATTACATGTTATTGCACAAGTTGAACATTATTAACACATGTTTATTGATATATTTTTAGCTCATTACTTGAACCATGAAATCGTAGGATATGGCCGAATAAATTTCTATAATCGTTCAGTCATTTCTAATCTAAAGAACATTCCCTTTTTTGGMAAWGAAATTTAAGTAWAAGTTTTWRAAAAAATRCTTTTATAGGACTCTWATGGTTTTCCCGCCAAAATGGAAGACAAGAGCGCGCGCGCTCACATACCACCAATTTTATTTTCAAYGAATTTATCTAAAGATTACATGAAAGTTTATCATTTCATAATAAATACATATCAGACACACAGCTCGACGATATGCAAATACAGCAGAATAAATTCAGCTCTCTTTTATTTTCTTTATAGACATTTGCCGCGTTATTATAAGGTTTTCATTATGGTTTTCAGTTGTAGACAGTGAATAAAGTGTAGTGAGTAGAGGTAATTTATCGAGTGCAAACACCCAAAATCGTGGAAAGTGCTAACCAAAATTGCATCAGTTCTCGAGCACTAGTTTTTCAAATTGACTGACAGAAGAAACCATCTTGCCGAGCAAATTGCACCTATCATTAAAATGGCTATTCTATATTAAACATTAACTTGTGGGGTTTTGAAGACGCAATTGTCTGATAGAGAAAGTTCCATACGTAAGGCTTAAGCATCACTGAAACGTGCAAACGCAATGTCTGTTGTAAATGAATGGAATTGCTTTCAGTTGGTTTTTATAAACGAATGTCGCATGTCATTTTATATTAGTTATATAGATTTGCGTGCAACGTTGAACATGTTGGAAAGTTTCTGGTATCCAAAAAAAGTCAGAAAGTGGGTTTCGACCCCACCGTGCCATCGCAAGAAAAAACCTCACATTCACTAGCTTTAATTACTATTGCCCTTTGGCTTATTCAATTTGAGCAGTTTGGATGGAAAACGGTTGGTAATTAAATAGAGCTAATTATGCTAGTTCTTTTGTTTTCTATTGTCTAATCTACACTATCATGATTTGCGCTATTGTGCACTATTTAGCAAATACCAGTGTTTGCTGGCCTTCACATTTTGCACGAATTCTTTTTATATTAACGCAACATCAACAAACCCCTCACATTAAAAATGCCTTTATGTTTGTCCACAGAAAATGCATTGAAAGTTCTTACCTCAGTTAAGCAGTTAGCATAACATCTTGCCTTCGTAACAGTTGCCACATCTTTCACCACAGTAGCATTGGCAGACAGTGCCAAGGCGAAGAACATCATTGACAAAGATTTCAAAATTCTGTTAGCCATCTTCATGTTCAGTGAAAAAGAAACCTCATCCGTTTCAAAACAATTTGGAAACTGATGCAGTGGCATCAACGCAAGAACTCTTCGCATTAAGCACTG